CCTAGCCTTATGGTTCTGAAACCAGTAGAAGACATTCTTGCTCTCTATCTTACCATAAAAGCTTAGCTGAGTGGAGATCTTTTGAATCTGGTCAGTGCTTGGGGTGCGGAGCCCTGACCTGAATAGTTCAGTTAGAAGTTTAACCTGTTCAGTGGTGGGATTCCAACGCCCACACTTAGTGCCACTGCCAGTGTTGCCACTTTTGCCACGGACACTTCCTGATCTGATGCAAAAGCCTGACATGCCCTCGTCCATATTTTGCTTCCAGATATATTCCTCTCAATGATTCTATTTCTCTCTACTCTAAACTTTATTACTTCTGAGCTTATCTGAACCATAAAGATTACAAGTTACAACCCGTGTGCATATATATAATACCCTAACTCAATAATCTAATGCCATAATCTCTGTCTGTCCTTTTATTTTATTTTATTTTATTTTATTTTTTTGTATTGTGTTTGTGGGGATCACAGATCTTACACTCAACGTTCTGTCTGCTTTGCATTTAGGGAATGTGAGGGACCATTAATTGTAGACAAAACTTAGGTACGTGCTATTTTATATGTATTAAGTATTTCTGTTACTGTTTTCGAATGAAAACACACGGCACACTTGTTATACTTATAATTGTGTTGTGTTTTCACTAAAAAGGTAAAATTACAATATCTATAGAATATCATTTGAATCTTGTCTTTCTTTCATTACATGTGGATTTGATTGATGTATTTCATATGGACTGGTGTTTTTTCACGCTAATAAAGAAATAGAAAGTCATGCGCAAAAGCAGCCATTGTTCAACATTTCGGTGTCTTGGGGCAGTGAACTTACAAGTTTCACTAATTGAAGTTTAACCATATTTTATTTGATATGATTCTACATTTAATTTTTATTTCCTCGAGTTCTTCTTAGACACAACACAGTGTGTTTTTCAGTAAAGTGTGTGCACTTACTCCTAAAATTTATACTGTTATACATACATATTGCCTTTATGTATGTTTGTGCAGTTTTCGTTGTCTTATCTCCTATGCATAGTGCTTCGACAGAATTACTTATCATATTGATCCAACTCCATCCAGACATGTGAGTTACGCCAAACTTTGCTTTTAAAAAGAAGTGGTTGTCCGCTAAAGTTCATGGAGAATAGTTAAAAGTTGTAATATAGTATTAATTAGATAAGAAATCATTAAGTGAAAATGAATCATATCAGATTAAAAACGAAATTACAATTAGATTTAAAATAAAGAAGCAAATTGAAAAAAAACTGTATGAACATAAATAAAAGGTAGTGAAAAAGAATAGTTGAATATTAATGGAATGTATAAAAAAATTTCTCTCTCGATCAGTTTAGTTGTAAGAAAAAAGAAATGATTAAAAAAACTATGTACGTAATGTTATGGATAAATGCCTAGACAGACATAGAAAAACTATTTTGTTTTTCTAGTCTATTCTTATGTTTTACTACGAAACAAGGGCTATGCGATTCATGATAACCAAAAGAAATGATACTGTGGTAGAACAGTGATAGAAAATTTTGATTGGTAGTCAAGAAAGGACAGAGACCACATTCTTCCGTGCACTTTCTACAATTCCCGAGGATATTCTACTATTCACGAGTGTCATTTGTCTCTTGAAACTTGGCACTAGGCTAGGGGTTTGCCTGCTCTAACTTCTAGGTTTTTGGACACAAGTTGTTGGGTGTACATGCTAGCCCCCAAGCACCTAACAAGTAATTTCCGCAAGTAATTAAGCCAGAGAAACCAGAAGGTAACAAAGCAACCAAATTCTGATTTTAAACGCAATGCCATTTTTTTTTTACTATTTCCAACTTTATTTTTACTTTTGAGGATACCTAAATTCTATTAAAAAACTTAGTTGATTATCTCTCTTCTTAATTAATTTTTTTTTATTTTTAGATTCAAATTAAAAATATTATTCAAGTAATTTAAGCTAAGTTCTATATGAACTAATAATTTGTTAAAAATTTTATATTCATTAATGATATAATTAAAATAGAGTTTAAAGATTTCATACATAAATTAAGAACAATATTTATATTATAAATTGATTTTATAAGATTAAATTAAACTTAAATATTTATATTAAAATCAATTATAGTGATTGTTGTTTAATCTATTGTATTACCCATTATTATGTTATCTTTAGATCATTCATAAATATTCTGTTATACGAATTTCACATTCAAGTAAACAAAATAAAGTATAAGAGGAGCTCAGTTGAGAGCTAAGTTAAAATTAATATTTTATAGGTTTGTAGGTGTATTATTAGTTTGGTTTAGTTATTACGGCAATCCAACATCCGGCCTAAAACGAACAGAAGTATGAAAGAGATATTTTGGTATGAATATATTTCTAAAGGTGCATTTAAGATCGGTAAAGGGGCCTTGCTTTTAGGTAGCCTGATGCATGTGTCCTTTTGTGATTGTCCAAGTATGTAAGGAGTAGTGTTCCACGAAGATTAAAAAAGAAAGAAAAAAGAGCAAAAAGAAGAAAAAGAAAAAGGGTTGGTTAAGGTTAGGAGTGAGGAACATAGGATGGGGGAATAAGAAGTGGAAGTGTTCAAGTGTAGCTAGAAACAGAAGGAGGGCATGCATGAATGCATGATGCATGCGTGAAAGCTATGACGCCGCCACCCTTCTCCGTATCATCCGTTTCTTGTCTCCGTCACTTTTGTCGCTGCTTTTACCGGAACAACTACCTACCATGCGGAACCGGAACAATTAAAAATAGAAACAAAAACACTTTCACTACGTTGCACCACCTTTTCTTCTTTAATTAGTGTTAGATACTGATACACTACGATCCTTAGAATGTGGATGTGCTTTTCGAGACATAGTGAGAGTGGTTAAACAATTCATATAGCCTTGCCAGCAGTCAAACATTCCGTCCTAAAGAGTCAATAATGTCAACACTGTCTATGAGTGGGAGAAGTTGCTTCCACCATTTATATATACTGTCATTCTTGTCATGCCACGGTGTCCTAGTTCCCATGCATGCTAGTGGGAATCTTGGAACCTTTTCTCATCACAACTTAGTTTAGTAGTAGATTGTTACAATTTGTGTAAAGTGATCAAATAAGTGTTTATTTATTGTTATTTTACATTAAAGTATTTTTAAGTTTAACTAATATTTAATTTATAAAAAGGCACTTGTACCTTTATTTCACAGATTTATTCATTTTAGATGAGCTGAGTCCATTGAATTAAAAGGTAATGAAATTATGAAAGTAGATCTTAGCGTTCACCTTTGACTTTCTTCCATTATTCCATGCTTTACTTTGAGGGAGTAGCTATATTTTTAATCATTTGATTGATGGGAGAAAAATAAATTTAAAAGAATATCTCATTGATTTAATAAATTTTATTTTTCCCATTTGGTAAAGATAATGGAAAGGGAGAAAATTAACAAAAATACCTATTTATTTACTCAATCATTTTTTTTCTCCTTCTCTAAAAGAAGTCTCAATTTTTCTCTTGATCTAAACAATAGAAGATAAAATTAGTTTTATTTTTTCTTCTATTCATTTTCTCTTCACATCCTAACAAGCTGGGAGGTATGGGGTAAATGAGGGGATAAAAATAGATATTCATATTTTCATAGTTTTGTATAAGAATTTAAAACCATGTAAAATACATATCCTGACATGTTTTTAATTTTATTTTATTGCTACCAGGACTCAAGTACATTAGAGTGAAGAGTAGATGAATGAACAATATTATGTAAATACCATAATAAAAACAAGGGTTTTTTTTTTCCTCCGGCCTGTATCATAAGAAAATATAATGCAGACATTACCCAGGAATCATGTTAATTAATTGGAAAAATAAGTTGCAATGACCAATAATGCATGTGAATTGTGCAAACTGCACTAATTCTGTAGACAATATATATTACAACTGAGAAGTGAGTGGCTATTCCTACAAATCCGGGAAGGGAAACAACTAGACCCAATTTCAACTTCGTTATATATTTTAACAACTCGATAGTTGGTAAAAGGTTATCGTGAATTGTAGAATTATAATTCTAGCCAATATGTAAAGCTGTTAATGACAAAGTCATCAAGTAACATGTTAAACTTAAAAAAGTTTTTCTTTTCTTTTCACAAAACCTATTTTCATTATTTTATCACTCATAATGAGATCATATTTGTTAATTTTCAGGTTTAATACACTTACGGATCCTTAATTTGTTTGTTAATTTTTCATTAGGTCTTTAAAATAAAAAAAAAATATGTATAATTAAACCATTCGGCTTCTACAATTTTTTATAATTAGGATTTTGATGTGAGTAAGATCTCACAAATTATTATTTTTTTACAATTTTAAACCATCTTAAAGCACACATTAATTTTTAGTTGAACAAAAAAAATAACTCCAGAAACTTAATTATAAAAAATGTAAAAGATTAGAACCTAATTATAATCTTTTAAATTTAAGGATCGAATTAAAAAAAATTTTAAAAAAAAGGTCTATCAATATATTAAACCTTGTTTTTATTGTCTCTTTTAAAATAAAGAATGCTATCTATTTTTTATATTTCTGTACTTTATCTTTTATTTTATAATTTGAAGTCAAATCATACTCGTTTAGTTAAAGGGAATAAACAACACCAAAAATGATGGCCAAGAGACGTCCGTCAACAATCATCATTGATTCAAAATAATGTAAAAATACTGATTAATTACACAGACATGGTATAATTTGAACCCGTTATTAATTTTTTCGACCAACGAAAATATTATATTTTTTAGAACATCTACAACCTAATATTTTCTACTTTATCTTTATATACCTTAACTCTATGTTTGGAATCATATCATCAGCCCAAGTAATGTATGTTTGATTTTTTATGTCAAACTAATTGAAAAACACAAAACCTATATATATACTCAAAAACGTAGAAGCTATATTTGTTAGCTTAAAAAGAAACCTAAAGAATCACACAATAACCTTTAACCAAACGTCCAAACCTGCTATTAGTGAAATTTACTATTATACAACACTTAATTTTACAATTTACAACTCACTTTTTTCCAACTCAACAACTTATGAATCCCGCAAGTGACTCCAATTCCTCACATTTCATCGACACTATTTTATTTAGTTAATAAAAAAGATACTGACACCCTTTAAAATACGACGACAAAATTGAATTTAGCTTTATAAAAACACTGATAAAACATTAAATAGTCTAATACATATGTAGCGGAGAAAGGGATCTCACTATTTTATTTTTTATTTTTCAAGGCGACAAATTAGCCAAGTGCATGACTAGTTACTCCATAGTGACCTCAAACAAAAAACCGACTTTTGCAATAATAAGCTCAACAATTTACTATTTCAAAACAAATAAATGAATAAACAAAAGCTGATATTCCAAGTTTTGGGGAGAAATCAAAAAAAGAATGTAACTTCTATAAGCAAAATTGCATTTGATCAAGGACAGAATCACAAAATCTGAGCAGCCGTATTCAACTTTTCAGCCAGGCTAAGCTGTGTTCTAGTGATGCTTGATAAATATAGCAAGAGCAGGTGATCCTGAAAGGATGAAACATTCACGTCAGCCCTAAAAGCCTGAGAATATGTGTTCATAAGCCAACATAGGAAATTTTGTAGACCAAAAGATCGATTTTTATAATTTTTGACGTAAATAAATATCCCACGTTTTATTTAGTTGGAATAAATCATGACCAAAACCCAATCTAACCTGCAAGCTGTCATTCACAAGCTTCTCAAAATCTGATGATGGCAATTTGGTAAGGGAACCAACAGCATCTGATATAAATCTCCCAATTTTGTTGTCTGGATCAATACGCCCTTCCTGATATGAAAGAAATAAAATCATGAATGACAGCATCATTTGCTGGAATTGCCATCTAAAAAAAGCATGATTAGAATGACTAGAGGCAATGGCAACATACCACAACATCATCAACATATTTGTGGATGTCATCAATCAAGGCTAATAGATGTCCCATTGACGCTTCCATCCCTTCTAAATCAGAGGGGATTTTGTCAATAGCAGTTGCCTTCAGAGTATCATCTATCATGACATGACCAGAGTTAACAATCAGGTTTTTAATCATTCAAGTTGAAGAACATTTCTTGAATTATATTCACAAGACACTAATGGTAGATAAGAATGAGAAAAACATCACATAAAGGACAGTTTTCTTCCATGATATAAATATAAATAAATAAACAAATGAACTCAACTATAGATAAAAAAAAATTATATATACTTCCGCCATGTACAGACCTCAACCAGTCTTTCAAGTTTCAACTAAGAAGCATTCCCCCCAACCCCCCGTAGACCCCAACATTTTTTTATTAACGCAGAAGGACACAAAGGAACAAAAATACATCAATGCAGCAAAAAGCTTGTCAACTGTCCATCTGAACAGATATTCTAAAAAATTTGGGAGTTATGATCCATCAAAATGCACAAAAGGAAAACAATTATTGCAAATTGTGACAACAAAAAATTGGTTGCTTTACTTCTACCGAACCTACAAGAGGCTGGTCCAAAGACTTGGGCACACACCCAAACACATTGCTTACAAGAAAGTACCCCACCACGTTTTGAGCGATTCATTTTACAAAACGTAAGGCAAAAAGCGTATATACCACTGTTCCCAAATACAAAAAGGAATATAGATCGCTTTTTATTTTGGGTCATGACTCATGATCAACATGCAACAAAAACACGATCTTTTACAACTACATTCTTAAAACACCCCGAATTTTACAAAAAAGAAAACAGTCTTAATAACAAATTACCTCTAAATGAAATCGGCAATCATCTTTAGCAATAAAATTTATACATACTAGTCTATTTAGTTAGACTTCATATTCTGAAACTCGGGTAGAACATCACTAGGCTTTCTAAGTGGCTCTAAGAAAGATAGAACAGCTTCACTAGGCTATCTTGTGATCCCCCAATGTTTCCCATATCACTCTCTCTATAATGTCAACAATTCAGCTCTAAACAGAAAATTACAAATTCATTATTAGCTGGAATTGCCATGTAAAAAATGACTTAGGTAAGAAATCCCAAAAGGATGATGAACTGATGAAGCAGTAAAGATTAAGAGCTTAGAAATAGTCCTTTCAGCAAAGTCTTGGGATTTCTACATTACATAATTAAGAGCTGAAAAACCATGTAATTATGTCCAAATACTTTTTATCAGGCGAGATTTTCTTGAGAATGCAACCAATAGCAAAATCAGTTTTTGTTTAAGAAAAATGAAACTTAATGCACTTCTCTCTATACAAATTCATGAATTGGTGAAGGCAAGCGCATAAGCTATTACAACTTACAAGTATTTTACGCAAGAAAGAGAGCTTTATAAAAGGAAAACAGCAATATAAGAGATGAAGTCCAATAATACATACATCCAATGCGTTCAGCTTCAGCCATACGAAGATCTAATGGGATTTCTTGAAACTGTGCAGCAATTTGTCGGTCTCTAAGCGATAAGTTGTTTGAAACATATGCTTTTATGGTACCTGCTCCCTTTGCGAATCCTGTGTCAACAGTCAAATGGATAAGATTGGGCACTTCTCGAGAATAAAATTCATGGATTAATGCACTACCACCGGTTACTCCAAGACCAGTTGAATACCTGCATAATGTAACCAAAAATTAGCCCTGCTTATTCTACACAAAAAAGGTAAAGAAACTGGTATAGGGCATTCTCCTTAGAACGTAAAAGTAAGAAGAAATAGAAGAAACAAAACATACTCAGCTCAGCAGTCCTTTCGCATACCAATAAGCGAATCCACATTTACAAAACTATTACTTGAACCACTAGGGCATAAAGAACCCAATACTATTCTTAGAACTTAGGCTTGAACCTTACTTAACCTCAAAAGCTAGCTAATAGTGTTACAGTTACTCTGCACTTAAATATATTATTTTGGCTGAGGTTATCAAACAGCGATTTGAATTGTGAATCGTAAAATTTGGAGTCAATGAAAAATTAACAATCATTTCTAATATATCATAGATGATATATAGTCTTCAATGTAAAAAATATAAACTAGAAATAGATAAGATAACTTAAGCAGAAGTCTTATCTAACAAAATTATTAATTATATCCAAGTTTAGGAAATCTTTAGTTTAAAAGAATGAAAACGACACAGTTATATAGGTAAATATAATATATGCATTGAATGAGTGAGTGACAAAAAAAAATGAATTGTTGAATCGTATAGATGATAAGAAATTGCACAGCTTCATTTTTGTATCGTAAGATACAAAGTTATTTAAGATTCATCTTATGATGCCAATCGGTAGCTAGCCTAATGGTATCGAATCTTAAGATCCGAATCGTGACTAGTAAGATTATGAAAACTCTTATTTTGACTATATCGTTGGCTAATGTGAATTTTCGCACACACTTTGCTCATGTTAAGGACGGGACATAGCTAAGTGACCCGATAACGATCTATTTACGAAAGACAAGAACCCAAATAGTTTTATCTTAGAAATTAAGTTTTATCTAATTCATAAGGTAAGAGTTGCAATCCTATATATACATTATTATTATTTTTCCATAACCAGATATCTCTGACAATCATCCTATAAAAACTATAAAGGTTTTAAATTACATTGAGATCAAGTTTGATGATTCGACTTCACACGATTAACAAACAAAGACCACTCATGGACTTTCATATTCCTATTGACACGCAGTTGTGAATACAACGCACAGAAGTTTGAAATAGTGACTTTTATCAGTGAGTGAGTGAGAGAGAGAGAGAATAGGACTTACCATCCAACTATAACTTCCTTTGGGTTCACCTTCTGGTGGGATATTAACATACTATGGTGATACTCAATATCCAAGGCAACCTGTAAGGAAAAATAAATAAATAAAAGTATTATTTCCCTTACAAAAGAAAAATGCAATACAATCGATATTCAGAAAAAATAGATGCACAACCTAAATAAGGACCATCTATGCGAAAGAGTTGAAAGATAAAAATAATGTATGGTCCATAAGATGTAAAAACGGAATGCGGGCGAAAGAGTGTGCAGGACCTGATCGACGGATTCGCTGTGCGGAACGGCGTAGGAATTACGGACATCGACGGTTCCGTCGGGGAGAATGGAGCCGAGTAACGTTCCGATGACGCGCTCGGCTTGGTCGGGACGTCGAACATAGCAATCGCAGATGTTGAAGACAACGAGAGGGTGAACCCTCGCCGAAAGGCTCTGTGAAGAAGAGAACTGCAACACTGTGCGCTTCTTCGCCGCCATGCTCGGAGCTTCCATTCGCCTAGCACGACGTGCGTCTGCGTGAGCAAGAGATTCCCGCGGGTGCAAAATGTGCTATGATTTTGGCCATGGGCCATGCTAGGCCCAACATAAGCAGTGTTGCTTGTTTTTGTTGGCCGGCGATAAACACACCTCCACTCTCATATAAACACACCCCTTTTTTAAAAAAAATATATAAAATGTCTAAATTACCCTTTAAAAAATGAAATTCTTAAATTTACATCTCCCTTCCCCCACCCTCTTTCCCCGCACCCCACACACTCCACACCCATCTTCTTCCCAAAGCTTCTTTCCGCTCAATGTTATTAAGCAATATACTTTTACAGTATAGAAAAATAGGACTAGTCCCCACCATAACCAGCATAAGAAAGGCTCTTTTACAATCATTAGCATTCCGGAAAGTACTTTTACAGTCATTAGCATTCCGGAAAGTACTTTCCGGAATAGTAAAATTATTGTTCATATAATTCCGGAAAGAACTTTCCGTAATAGTAACTTTAATATTGTGGAAAGTACTTTCCGGAATTATGTAACAAAACATTTCCGGAAAATACTTTCCGGAATAAGAATTTAATATTATGGAAAGTATTTTCCGGAACATTTTTATATAATTCTGAAAAGAACTTTCCGTAATAGTAAGAAGAAGAAGAAGAGGAGTGTCAGAAAGAGAAAGAAGAGGGGTGTGCGAGGTGCGGGAAAAAAAAAAAGAAAAAGAGGAGTGCCAAAAAGAAAAAGAAGAGGGGTGCGCAATGTCAGCAGGTGGTCTTGTAAGAGAAAGACTCTTACTTGTTCTATGGAAAGAAAGATTACTACAAAAATAACTTTTAAAATCGGGGTTTTAAAGGCAGTCATAAGAAAGTCATTTTAAAAGTGACGCGGTGGCTTGTACTGCAACAGAACGGCCCCAGAACGGGCCGTACTACTTGCAAAACGGCCCGCACTGCAAACAGAACGGGCCGCATTGCAAGTAGTACGGGTCGTTCTGCTTGCAGTACGGGCCGTTCTGCTTGCAGTACGGCCCGTTCTGCTTGCGGGGAAGGGGGGTGTGGGGTGCGGGGAAGGGGGTGCGAGGAAGGGGGTGTAAATTTAAGAATTTTATTTTTTTTAAGGATAATTTAGACATTTTATATTTTTTTTTTTAAAAAGGAGGTGTGTTTATCATGAGCCGTTTTTGTTTTAGTTGGATCAGTCCAGCCCACAAAAGAGATGAGGGAAGCTGCTCATTTGGCCCAAAACAGTACTTTGCCAAGGCAATTGATATATACACCTTTTTTATAAATACTCTTCTTTTCTCTCTCTCTTTTTTTTTTTCTTTCAAAATTTCCTTTTTAAAATTATCTTTATCATTCACTTCCTTCCTTCATCCTTTTTCTTCTTCTACTCCATTTTTCTCTGATCACTGTATCTTATTTTTTTTTTCTCTTCTTGATTTCTCTCTTTAACAATTAAGACAATCATACACCATCTTTATAATTTTTAAGTTCTACTTTTTCACTCTCAACTTCATCATTCTTTAAATTCCATTTTTTTTACTTCATCTTCACTGCTCCATAGATACAAGGTATGAGTTAATGTGTTAATACATATTTTGTAATTTATTTTATATGTCGTATACAACAATAATTATACATAAAAATAAAGAACTTGGTGAATTTTTCCAAAGACGTCTAATCATGAGGTATAATTTCGTTGATTTCAGAATTAATTTGTTTTTTTAAAATTTTGAAAAAACACTTTCCGAAAGTATATTTTTCATACTTCTAGAAAGAAGGGATTTGTGAAGTCTAAAAATTATAAAATAAAAATAAAATTAAAGAATATTTGGAAGAAGAAGAAAAAAAGAGTAATAGAAGTATAATTAATGAAGGGAAATATATTTAACAAAAACCTGTTCCCAAATGTGCTCCCAAATGTTCAAGCTTGCTCATCTCTTTGTGGATGGCTCGGTCCCATCCAACTAAAACAAAAACAAACAAGGCTGCTTGTGTTGGGCCTAGCTAGGCCGTGCCTCATAAGGCTCATGATATATACACCTCTTTTTTTTTTATAAGTACACTTCTTTTTTAAAAAAAAAATTATAAAATATTGTTTTCTTTTTTAGTTTTTTTAATTTTACACCTTTAACTTTTAATTTTCTACTTTATTTTTTTATTTCACACATTTTTTTTTCTCTTTTTGTTTTCACATGCTATCAAAATAGGTGAAGTGAAAAAAAGGTAAAGAGGATACATGTAAAAATTGAAAAAAAAAGAGGAATAGTGTGTGAAAAAAAAGTACTAAAATTAAATGTTGTAGATGTAAAATTAATTTTTTTTAAAGGAGGTGTACTTATAGAAAAAAAGAGGTGTATATATCATGAACCAAATCATAATTCATAATATATTTTGCACCCAATTATATGTATAATATTATTTTAACAAACAACGAACATTTGATTAATAATCAATTATTTGTATAATATTAATTTATTATAACTGGAATAAATTTTTATTTATATAAAAAAATCTTTTAAGATATTTAATTTCTCCGAACCATTTTTTTATTATTGAACTTAAAATAGTTTAGGAACATAAATCTTCAAGTAAGATTCTTTACAGGATTACATAAAATAAACAAATAAAAAGGTGTCTATATATATAACTCTTTATAAAAATTCAAGAATTTTAAAGTGATTCGAATTATTTGATGTCTATATATAGAGTGACATAAATATGTATTTTTTTTTCCACATAAAAGTCATGTAACAATATAGCATTTCTGTTCCATGAACGTTTGGGGTCCAAAAGCAATCGTATAGATTCAAGAAGACATAAAAACAAAATGTGCAGAAGAGCAGCTTTAGCATCTCTAATAAGATTTGTTAAATTAAAAGAACAGAACAAACTTCTTTGCATATTCAAGATACTTTATCATCAATTAGAATTTATATATCTTTTCTTTGTTTCTAGAAAAAAGACAATGTCCTGTCATCTTATTAAAAACGAAAATATACAAGAGCTTCTTTTTATTTTTTTAATATACAAAAGCTCATTATTATCTATAAAAGGGTTCGTCATCTTATGCATAAATATAATTTGAGTTTGTCTCCTCATAACATGTGATCATTACTACCATGTTCTAAAAATAAAACCTGAGTATCCAATTATCCAAATATGTGTCAAGTTATTCAAATAAGCAATTCTAAGACCTGCCATATTAAACAAAATATTGTATATAACTTTCAGCACTGGCAGCATAGTAGTTATACCTTATTCTTTCTTTACTGAAATTTTCAATTATAATAAATGAGGAGCACCTTGAATTGTGAGAAAGAACCATTTTCTATAAAATATATAAAAACAACTTGTTACATGTTCCAAAATTTAGGTTAAGCAAAAACATGTTGATTGAGCATCTTGGCTACTGTAGTTTTAAAAATACATCCCAATGAAACCATGACACATATAATGAATCCTTCTTGGGATAGGACGAAACAGAAAAATGACAAGAGGATACAGGAAAGAAGTAATGATGGTTTTAGGAGAAAACAACAGTTAAATTTGAAAGATAAACAAAGGAGAGAAAAGAACAATTCGGACACATCAAGACAGCTGCGAGTAGGCCAAAGGGAAACATCCCCGCAAGAGACGTTATTGAAATTTGTTGGTGTTACGGAGTAGTGTTGCTTTCGGAATGAAAAATCACGTGAAATTTTGAAAACGTTAATTAGTTTTCATTTTAAATCAATTGAGGTTGAGTTCAGTGGCTGAGTTTCCTACATATCCCTTTTCTTTTTCTTTTATGAAATTATTGTACTCTCACGCATATTTTTTACAACTTTTTTCTTTCTATAATTAAGATAAAGATAAGTTTAAAATAAAATAGATATTGTTGTGACTAAAAACAATATAGCTATGTACCAGGAAAGAAATAATACAAATATTTTTTCTCTCTTGCTCTCTATATAATTCACATAACATCTATTACTACATAGAATCTAATTTATCAAGAAAATAATTTCAAACATTAAATATAAGGATGAAGTTGAGAAAATTAGTCATTTACCGCCGCTGGTTGAGCATTGATTTTAAATATGGAAATTCACTAATTTTATTAAGAAATTTTATTTTGATGTATACTCTTTTTTTTTTTTTTTGGGTATAAACCACAAACCACATTTATTTTATTGAAAACAGTATTATTCGAGTGGATAATATCATTATAGAGAACAAAAACACTCTTTAAGACTTGAATATCTTTTAATATAAAAGACAAGAACTCCTCATTGCTTAAGATTAAATCATGTAAGAATAAAATTACATACTATAGGGGAGAAGGGTCTTCATCCGACTTGGACTACATTTTTACGATGGTGTGTATAAGTTTTTTCACTTTATGAAAGTGAATCTAACAAAATTCATATTTTAAATAGACTTTAATCAATAATAAAAATGAAAGTGTGTCACAATTACCGAGCCCAAGTGTCACATCTTTTTAGTGAAGGATTCCATGAAAGTCACTAGAAGGAAATGACAATCCCATGGATAAGATCAAGCTTGCCCTAATTTGATTTAGAAGAAATATAAAAGTAGTGTGTGTTTGCTTCTGAAGGCTATGATCAGAAATCATTATTAAAATGGACAACACTAGAAGACGTGCATTATTGACGAATGGAGTGGTCCCGCATTAGGCAATAGAAATGATCCACCCACCCACCTACCGAACCCCACTCCTATTTCAATTATCCAAAGCAAGTTATAACGGGCACAGGCGTGGATAAAGAAACCGAACCTTGGCATATACTTGGGGGAAGAGGACAAATATTACAGAGAGGTCTAGAGGAAATTAAATTTAATCAAAAGAAAAGATGCATAAATATGACTCTGGTGTTATTTTTGATTTGGCAAAATACACAATCACACACATGAGCTGGGCCTCTTCCAACTTAAAAGTAGAGGATAACTGTGGCCCATGACGCGACACATGCACCCCCTAATAATCATTCATAATTTTACATCTTTACATACAAAATACAACCACTTAAGATTAAAAACAGATGAAAATGAAACCGAAAGCCACAAACATTGCTCAACCGTTTGATTCAATCATCACTTGGACTTGAAGGGAATTGCCCGGATTACAACCTGGTGGTAAAGAGCCGCAAGGGCTGCACCAATGAAGGGTCCCACCCAGAAGATCCACTGCACAAAAAAAGTAACAATCCATTAGCATCAGAGATCAGACGGTGGAGAGAGCCCTTTTCCTGAAAAATCATCCATCCACGTCCACTTACATGATCGTCCCAACCAAGGTCCTTGTTGAAGATGATGGAAGCACCTAGACTCCTAGCAGGGTTGATACCAGTTCCGGTGATGGGGATGGTGGCCAAGTGAACCAAGAACACAGCGAACCCAATTGGCAAGGGTGCCAAAATCTACTCACACACCAACACAAATAATTAGTAAAAGAAACTTGTTAGCAGAAGAAATGAATTAATTAAAGAAAGAGAGACTTACGGGGACGTGAGAGTCTCTGGCGTTACGCTTGGCATCGGTGGCAGAGAAAACGGTGTAGACAAGGACAAAGGTGCCAACAATCTCAGCACCAAGGCCATCACCCTTGGTGTAACCAGGGGCAACAAAGTTAGCACCACCCTTGTAAAAACCGTACCTCGTTTTTCCCTCAAAACCCTTCACCACGCCAGCACCACAAATAGCACCCAACACCTGCATCACTATGTAGAACACCGCCCTAGGCAACGACAGCTTCCGAGCCAAGAAAAGGCCGAACGTCACCGCCGGGTTTATGTGACCCCCTGCAACAGCAACAACGTTCTTCAAATTTCAATTTTCCACTTCACTCAGCCTAAAGTGTTGATATGATGGTAAAGAGAAATGGAAAAACCTGAGATGCCAGCGGTGCAGTAAACGAGGGCGAAGATCATGCCACCGAAGGCCCAAGCGATTCCTTGAATACCGACGGATTGGCACTTAGAAGGGGACCTGTTGACACCCATGACGGTCAAGATGGTGATGTAGAGGAAGAGAAAAGTGGCAACGAACTCTGCTATGCCTGCTCTGTAGAAAGACCATGAGGTGAACTCGGAGGGGTCAATGAGGGGCGCGGGGGCCGGCTCCTGGTAGTCTTTTCCGTCGTCTTGGCTCTGCGCCGCCGTCCCAATGGGCTGCCTCTCCGGGAACTTGTTGGCTCCCAAGGAAACGTCCTGCTCCTTGCCCTCCATCGGATTCCTTTGTTCTAGCGAGTGAGTGAGTGAGTGAGTGAGTGAGTGAAAGAAAGAGTGAGAGAGGGTAAGGAGGAAGGAGGAAGGTGCGGATTTATAAGCGGAATGAGTTCCAGTTAATTCATCTAAGGTGGGTGGCGGGTCCCACTCCCATCCGCCTAATGTTTTATGCCCTAGGGACCAATCATTCACTGCCCCTCTCCTACCTGGCGTCACTCCAACCACTCCTACCCAAGCCGACCATGCTCCGCGCACCACTCCAATACAACTTCCTTTTAACTTTTAACTTATAACCCAAGCAGGGACAGGGACCCAATTCCACGTGGTCCTTGCGGCCGGGCGGTGCCATTGTCAACACTTCTAAATATCACGTTCAACTCGCGACACTTATACGCCACGTGTCGCTTCCTCTTGCATTATGCGTTGCATAGCCCGTGGTCGATTCCAGAAACCACACTTACAAACCAACACGCAAATACTCCTCCACTCCTACTGTTACTGTTACCTCTCTACACTTTTTTAGAGTTTCCCTCAATTCAATTTCATGCTCCATTAATAGTTAGCTTTGGGTATTAGTTTTGTCTAGACCAAAATATGAAACAATAATTAAAATGTTAACTTATCTCACGTCCATTATTAAAATGTTCATTTCTACGCACTCAATTTCCTCTCTTGTTGAATTAAGCATAATGAGCCCTTTTAAATATTTTGTTTCTTTCTCGTGGATGAGACAATGATTAAGTATGTGAAGAGGCCTTGTCCTTAACTGTAGCTTTCATTTTTTTAGTTGGATGAGAATAGCAGCTTTTTCTCAGGAATACGGAATACGTAGAGAGATACAGAAGTCGTTAAGCAAAAAAGCAAAAGAAACAATTTGAATATTCTTGGAGCGTTTTCTAGTTTATTTGGATTACCTAATATGCATTAGTTTAGTAACTTGATTAGCCTGAGTGACTTGTAAGGATAAGATTAATAAATAAATAAATAAATAAAAGGAACGGTTGTGGATGATATTGAGTTTTGAGTTGTGAGGCAAAAGTTTTGGAATCTTTTGGAAAATTTTCTTTGTCATTCTACTCTGGCAAAAGGAACAGGTTAGGGACGCATGAGCTCCAGGCAGAATTTGGGTGGCAGGGTCCTACGTCTCTCCTTTATATCTTTCTCTGGTGACTCCTAATTAAGAAGCACACATAAAAAATAGCTAGGCACTTCTGGACCCCTTTTCGCAACTCGCATTATGCTTTCTGTTTCAGTGAAGCTTCACAAGTCTACTCATATTCATCAACACCTTGTTCACTTCCCCATAAAAGTTTCGTTTCTTACCTCTCATTGATTTTCAGACATTTTCTTTGAACAGAAAAGACAAAACAAATGACACGGCTTACAAAACTTGGTTCAATTAGTAATGAATAATATCTTTATTGGTGCTTTTTGAATTTATTAGTACTTCTAATTGTGACTCAATGTGCAACGGAAGATAAATAACTTAAATCTGATCATGAAGCCAAGGTATTTTCTGTGATATCTATTTCTTATGGAATTAATATAAGTATCTTTTTATTAACGTATAAATCTATATTTCAATATGTTTTAGTCATTGCTGGTAAAGAAACTTAGGCTCCTATCCTGGTCAATTCCAAACAAGGCTACGGATATGAGTTTATAATAATGGGAAGATTTATCATGATATATTAAATTTGAAATCTCAGAAACTTCTCGTATTAAGTGGTTCTTGTGTCACTATTTTGACAATATATATATTGTCCTCGAAATAATGGCTTTCTGTGGTCACCAGTAGCTGTCTTTTTCATTTTAAGGGAAGCAGACCATAGATTTGAATAAATGTGTGGATAAAACTTTACAAAGTGGGTGATTATTTCTCTCCTGCGCTGCATTTATTTATTTATTTATTATTATTATTCTCAAAGTACAACTGATGACAGAACACCCTATGTTAAACTATATGATAAATTAATAAATTATTCACTCGAGACCGTCAGCGAAATTAGAGCCACAGGTTTATTTTGGCAAGCCATGCCATAATTTTTAATTTATTTCTTTATCCAGAACCCTCTATGCACAATTTCGTGAGCAAGTACGTATAGATAACATTCCAATGTAATGGAGGAATTTTAATGCGAAATTGTAATTACACTTTTGTCCAGCTCTAACTATTTGGGAAGGATTGGGTTCATTTGATTGTTGCTTAGTTAATGGTTTCAATCACTATACCTTTAAGTGGAAGCAAAAGGAAAAGTAATTCCTTGCATATATAGTATTATTATTAAATTTCTTGTTATTACTTCAGCAATAGACATGTTGTATTTTCTATAAGAGCATTTTTCCCAAAGGACCACTCTTTAATGACCATCTTTTACTTCGCTTATTAGCCTTTATTTATTTACCAGGAATTAGGTAGGAAGATAATTAATTCAATGGAAAGAGATAGGGTATAAAAACGTCACCAAAATTTACTAGAAAAAAACTTCTTTCCGCAATAAGATAGGAGGAGGAGTGGAGATGCCCTTTTCATTTTTATTTTAATTGCTTAAAATTAATAAATTTTCTTATAACATAAAAATTGAAAATAATAAATAATTTATGTTTAAAATAATAAATAAAATTTATTTTTAATTAAATTTCATTTTTTAATTAGTGTTGTAACTAAATGCACGACAAGACAAAAAAAAAGTTATAATAAAAATAAAATTGACACTAAAATTTGTTTTTATTAGAAACCCAGCTAAAACAATCTAATAAACCCAATAAATAAATAAAAAAGTAAACTTAGTATGTATTTGATTTTTCGGTTGTAAGACTCCCATACCATTCATATATTTAAAGACTGTAAACTGAGAACTAACAATATTATAGGATTGGGGGAAAAAAATTGGTTTATGTTTAACTCAATGTTTCCTCAAACACGTCCTTAATTCAAACAACCGTGTTGGATATTAATGCTAATGACAAAATCTCATGAATATTTTGACTTCAAGTTTTTTTTATATTATTATAGGGTCATTATGTTTGTTTAGAGTATTTTTTAGCCTCCACCTACAATAAACAATCGCAACTCAGGGAACTGAAAGAGAACGTACAAAGAAAGAGCAAGTAATCGACAAGCAATCCCAACCGCTCGTTCAGAAGCCCGGATAGATACCCCGGCAGGACGGACGAAAGGCTCGGCAGCCGACGCTGCTCCCTTAGAAACCACCCGAGCTCCCCCCTGAGGCAGGAGACTCCCGGGCAAACCCTCCACCTCAACGCCGGTGGCCCCAGTAACAACCTCCTCCGCCTCGCGAGGAACAGAGGCTCCCCCAACCTCCCTCGGGACCCTCTTCCTTTTCCGATTGACCTTCAAGGGAGAGACCTCTACCTCCCCCTGAGCCTTAGGAGCCTTAAGCTCAACAACATTGTAGCAATGACACTGCTTCCAGTCACGCCACAAGTCCTTTCCCACAATACCTGAAAGCAAAGGACAGAGCACGTTAGCAAGCATAAAACCCTAACACATAAACAAAGTTACCAAAGACTCACCCTCCAAATCTCTTTCTCTGTGCGCCGAACGCTCGAGCGACAGAATGAGCTTGCAGTCTAGCGGGCGAGGAAGCGCCTTCAAAGCATTGACAGCAGCCGTCTCCGACGGCGTCAGCTGCGAGGGGTCCACCCCATGAAACCCAGACGGGTCACGGCACCAGTAGAAGGGAAACCTCGGCAGCCCGCCAAAATAGAACCCCCCATCCTCCAAAGGGTCGACATCGACAAGAGTAACCCGGAAAAACTCTTGCCTATAGTTTTTATACGATTGGGAATAAGGAGTAAATAAACCCCCTTCCTTACCCCCATTCAAAGAAAGAGTCCCGTACGGCGGGGCGCCCGCCTTCAATTGGTAGAAAGAGAGGAAAACCCGAAGGGACACCTCCACCCCTAGAACCGTGCATAAAACCTCGAACGCCCTCAAAAAACCCCAACTGTTGGGATGCAACTGACTGGGGGCCGCATTAACGTAGTTCAAAAAGTCGCATTCGAACTGCGTCAAAGGAAGGCAGACACCCAAGTCCCTGAAAAAACTCTGATACATATAAAAGGAGGGGGAACCAACGGACCTCTTCATATACACACCTTCACTAGCCGAACAAGGCTCCAATCGGATCATCTGAGAAATAGAGGGGTCACAAATCCTATGCGTCTCCCAGAGCGCATCAACCTCCAAACTCGAGTCAAAAACGCTTGCAAACTTGGCCATTTCGCGTTTTACCCATTCGTAGCCAAGGACACCCAACTCTAAGTCCCTGGGCGGAGGCACCTCCTTTCCCTCAACGGCGCCCCTACCGGTAACCACCGCCTTACCGCGTGCTTTGCCCCTAGCAGGGGCAGTAGAACCAACGCCATGACCACCAACCATCAAGAAAACTCAAAGAATCACAAGAAAGACAAAGAAAGCAGAAATAGGGAGCAGACGAAGACGAAGCGTGCACAAGAAGCTGAAGGGCCAGGAAAGAGTAAAGCGAAAACGAGAAGAGGCGCGGGAAAAGGAAAAAACCTCTTCCCAAAGTTCAAAACGGTCAGGCCACGTGTCGACCAAGGGGCACGCTTGATGACACATTAATTGCAACCCATCATTGCATAACCGTCATTTCCCTTAATGCGCCACTTGCACGTTCCCGGGAAATGAACAGTCGCGACACATGGCAGACCCTCAGGTGGCGCACATGGAAAGCTACTTCCCACTGGCGAGCCCGGTCTCAGCTCCTCGACCTACGATCTTCAGAGCTCGGGGGGCTAGTGTACTAACCGTACTTCGCACCCGGGCTCCGAGCCCGGATTAGCAATACAAAACAACCCCGGGCACGCGGTGCATGACGTCAGCCCGGTATTTAAGCAAATCATACCTGATTCCGGGGATCCCGTCCCAGACCGGATCCGCCCTCCAATTGTATCAGATCATGATATATCTTATCTCAAGCCCAAAAGCCTAAGGCAAACCTAATTCACTCCAAGGTACGTGCATTACTTATACGAGACTATTACACACACAAACCCTAACTTTGGCATCGGAGTCTCTTTTGCAGGTACCTCCC